TGGCTCAGTCTCTGCACAAGTGCCCCACCCACCTAGTGCAGTAGCTCAGCCTGTCCCCTGCCAAGAGCAGGGGCCCCACTTGCACGAGAGTGACCCATCCACTGAGCACAGAGGCCCAGCCTATGGGGCACAACCTGCCTGCCCAGTGCAGAGGCCCTGCCCTTGTGAGCACAACCTGCAGAATGGCTGCAGCCAGCCTGTACAAACACAAAGCAGCCGTACCTACACAACTACCAGCATAGGGAATGGGATCAGAAAACACAGCTCCTGCTTCCCTCTAGTAGTGGCAGTTGGAATCTGAACATGATACTACCGCAAATGTGCCAGCAAAGGATTGATTCATCAAACACCATGAAGAACTACAGCAACACTTCAGAACAGAAGGATAATGACAAGTCTCCAGAAACCAATCCTGAAGTCTCAGAAATTTACAATCCAAATGACAGAGAATTCAAAATACTTGTCATAAAGAAACTCAGTGAGTTACAAGAAAACTCAGAAAGACAGTTCAGTGAGCTCAGGAATAAAGTTAGTGAGCAGAAGGAATAGTTCTCCAGAGAGATCGAAACCCCCTCAAAAAAAGCCAAACAGAAATTCTGGATATGAAGAACACAATTAATTAGATAAAAATCTAGAACCCACAAAAAATAGAGCTGATATTATGGAGGACAAAATTAGTGCATTGGAGGATAGAAATATAGAAATGCTTCAGGTGGAGGAGGAAATAAAACTAAAATGGTAAAAAATTAAGAAATGCTTTGAGAAATATCTGATTTAATTAGCAAAAGCAATATAAGGATTATAGGTATTCAACAGGGAGGTGGGAGGGAGAAAAGAGCAAAGAGCTTGTTCACAGAAATAATAGCTGAAAAATTCCCAAACCTGGGGAAGAAACTAGAGTTACAAGTACATGAAGTCAATAGAATTCCTAATTATTTCAATGCAAAAAAACCTTCTCCAAGGCATATAATATTAAAACTGGCAAAAGTCAGTGACGAAGAGAAAATATTAAGGGCTAGAAGGCATAAGAAAATAACCTACAAAGGAACTCATATCAGGCTTTCAGCAGAGTTCTCAGCAGGAATCTTACCAGCTAGGAGAGAATGGAATGATAGATTCAAAATACTGAAAGACAAAAACTTTCAGCCAAGAATACTCTATCCAGTGAAACTATCCTTCGGATATGATGGAGAAATAAAGGCTTTCCCAGATAAACAAAAGGTGAGGGAGATCATCACCACTAGACCTCACTTACAAGAAACAATGAAGGAAGCCCTCCAACCTGTAACAAAAAGGCAAAGGTTTACAAAGCTTTGAGCAAGGAGATAAATAGACAGACAAAATCAGAAAACCGCAGCCCTCTATCAGAACAGGTTAGCAAACAATTATAAAAGGTAAAGGAAAGAAAGCATCAAAAACAACTATAAATGCTTTGATTTAGTTACAAACTCACAAGACAAAACAGAATAGTGACAACAGTAACTCAGAAGGGGAAGAGAAAAGGATGGAACCTGCTTAGGGTAATGGACATAAGAGACTATCAGAAAATGGACTGTCTCATCTTATAGTAACCACTAAACAAAAAATCAGAGCAGAGCCACGATTGATAAATAAAGAGAAAACTGAGAAAACCATCACAGAAAACCACCAAATTGAA